CTATCTATCTATCTATCTACCTATCTATCTACCTATCTACCTACCTATCTATCTATCTATCTATCCTAACATTATTCTAGATCAATTAGAATCTTAGAAAAAGATATATAGCTCAAATTGAGTAAATCAAACCAACGCGATCTCTTCATCACTGTTGTATAGGGAAAGAGGAAAAAAAATTATTGTCAGCAAGTTTCTTCGGGAATGAATATCGCGGTTCCTCAGAAATGTCCCTCGTACACTCACGTATCCATCATCCATCATATCCTCCAATTCACTTCCTCTTTTCTCCATTTTTGTTCTTTCACTAAGTTAGAGAACAAATGTCAACTTTAATGTGAGAAAAAAAAAACATCTTTTCTTCCGGATTTTATTGATCGTGTCTTTTCATGTCTTTCCGATGTAATTATACGATTCATTTTATCTTTTTCTGATGAGAATGATTGAATTCTCGAGATTTCTCATCCTTTATATATCTTCGATATAGGTAACCATAACAAACAGTTATATTTTTCTCTTGATTAATTAATTAATATTTAGAAGTTGTGGGTAAATAAACTGAAATTCCTATTCTGTTAAAGATCGGAAAAAAACAAATTGAAAAGATCATTTAAAACTTACAAGAGAATTTGCTCTTTTAAAAAAAAAGAAAACCTGTAAGAGAATTTGCTCTTTTTGAAAAAGAGCCTGAGCCTTAACCTAAGCTTCAGTGTATTGTTTTCTGAATTTGCATATTTTCCGGTCTCAAACGAAGGTCAATTGATCGGTAAGAGAGATTTGGGGAAAAAAGTGATTGTGGGACGAGTAGGTGCTGGGACATTAATGTATGTTGGTCCAGTAGAAGGTAAAACAGGTATATTTTGTGGTATAGAATTGGATCGTCCGGAAGGGAAGCATGATGGTACCTATCAAGGTATGTCAATTATATTTTAAATATTGAAATAGATCCTGAAAAGAAGTTCATAGCTTATGGAAGTGAAATAAGATTTTATCAAAAAGTAATTGGAACGATAATAAAGTTTCGGTTCAATAGATCAAATGTATTTGTTATTGTTAACAGAATAATTTATCTTTAAAATTTTTGCAAAGAGAAAAAGTTCTTCCGATTTTTAGATCAAATAGATTATCCTTAATCCTAAAGCAATTTTATAATCAATCCTATGAAATTAAATTAATAGGCTCAGATGGTTACTTTCGAATTTTTAAATTCAAAAATGGCTTTGCAGTTGAAACAAAAATTTAATGCTCTAAATTAAATTTTTATTAAACTATTAAATTTGTTTTTTTTTTGCATCTAATACATTTAATGAGTCATTTCTACCTTATTTTTTGACATTTTTTTTTTTTTTAAAAATGAGCAATTTTAGAAAAAAGAAAGGAAAAAAATGAACTGAGATGAGAGTGAAAACTGAAATAACTTCCTTAAAAACTGTATTTTTTGCTTTTTAATCATTAAAAAAAATGATTTTAACAATTTTTTTCTCATGAAGAAAAAGTAATTAAATTTTAATACGAATGACGTTATTTCATTTCGATTTTCCTGTTAGCAATTATTTTATTTCACATGTATTTTTTTTTCAGTTTATAAGATATATTTATATTTAAATTTAATCCAAATTGCTGCTACATATCAAATATTCATGTATTTAAATTGAACAAAAGATATTACTGATTAAACACTTATAATAAAATTGAATCAGTAGTATTGACAATTTAGTTACTTATGTTTAAACTGAACCAAAACTATTGCTAACCATTTGATATTTAAATTAAACTCAAACTATTCTCTATCTTCTCGTGATCTCATTCATAAAGTTGATTGCATTCTACAGTTACCTTTCTCGTCAAATAATTTCATAAAGTTTTTTTTTTTTTTATCCATCGAAAGTGGAAGAAATTCTTTTAGGTGTCGCATATTTTCACTGTGCTCCACGACATGGCATATTTGCGCCTTCCTATAAAGTGGAATTGTTACAACAGGTGACAGTTCCACCAAAACGACAAGAAGTTTGCATACTTTTTTCTTGCTTTATTTTAAAAATTTGAAGAAATTTCTTAATTAAAATGATGAAAATATTTAAAACACTAAAGAATTTAATGATCTTTTTTGAACAATCAATAGTAATATTTGAAAAACCACTTTCATCAGTATTTTTTTTTATAAATTCAAAAAGATAAAAATTTAAGCACCACACAATTTAAACACTAAGTTTGAATTTAAATAACATTTTTTATTGTCATTTTATTGATAGAAAGCTATTTACCTTGATATTTCTTTCCTTCATTTTTTTTTTCTTCATCAAATAATATTTGTTCGTAATTTTCCATTCACTTCACTCATAAATGATCGTTAAATTTTGCTAAAGCTAAAGTTAGCGCAAAAATTAAATCATAATTTTTCTTACACAACACACAAAATTTCTCCATCATTTTTTTCCATTCATTTATTCCATTAAGTCATTTGCTATTCAAACATTTTCAAAAGTACAACAAAACATTGAGATTTTAAAAAATAAAAAGCTAACCGAAAATTGTAGAGCTAAAAGTTAAATGGATGCCCTCCCCCCCACCCCTAAAACTCATTCATCAATTTGAAAGTACTGAAATTCATTCTTTTTCAAAATAAAAAAATTATTTTTTTATTTTTCATCAACACTTTAGAAATTGCTGTAAATACTATGCTTTCTTTTCTGCTTGTTTTTTTTTTTACTTCTTTTTCATTACATTTGAGATTACTACTGAAAGAGATTTTTTTTTTTCTAAATTTTTTCAATCTCAACAAATTTCTTTTTGCTTTTTTTTTATAACAAATTAAGTAAAATTTTCAAGAAAGAATTAATTCCAAATGGACATAAAACAACAACATCGTTGTTGTTTTATGTCCATTTGGAATGAATTCTTTTTTTGTCGCCGTTAATTTATAATCGCTTCCGCAATTAATCTATTTATTTGATGTTTAACATTTGAAAATAATATTTCATCATAATATTAATTTTAATTCTTATTAATGACAATCATTACTGCTCTTAGCCATTCGTATCATTCCAATTTTTATTTATAGTATTCTAATTAATGGCGGATGTTTTATTGAATGTTTTTTAATTCATAATATTTTAGCAATTCGTAAATTCTTGAAAATTTTGAATATATAATAAAGATAAATTGTTTGCTAAAATTTCATCCCGTCCTTAATTCACCTAATTAATGCATTTCAATTTTAATATTTAAAATAGCTCAATATTATAGCATATTGATTGTCAGTGAATTCTGCAAATTCAGTAAAATTGAATAGTTTAGAAAAAATTACTGCCTAATGCTTTTGAGTGGAATGATTTTTAAAATTTTCTAAAATACTCTTATTTTATTTCATTACCATTATCATTTTGAAGTGAAATTTGTTTGTAAACTAAAGATGTACTGGTGAATTTAAATTTGAAATTCAATTATTCGATTGAAATTATATGTAAATTTGCACGCTGTAAAACGGTTTTTTATTTCTTAAAATATAATTTTAGTGAAAAATTTAAAATTCACTCTTTTTCTCTTCAAAAATTGTGCATTAAAAGTGTTTGAATGATAACTTTGTTCTTTAATGTTCAATCATTGACTTCCTTTAAGTAAAATTTATTTCAATTGAATGAAAGATTTTGATATAATTTAAAATGACAACTAAATATTTTCACACTTTTTATCTGCCAAATATATTAAAGCAGGAAAATTTAGATTTCAAAATTATTTTCAAATAAATTTCTCTAATAATTCCCAATTCTATGAATGTCATTTTTTTCATTTTTTTTTTGAAAGAAAATTTACAAAAATAATTTAACAAACTAGAAGTTTTTAGCTACAAATATTTTTTATTTTCGATTATTCAAAACGATGAAATTACATTCGCGGAAGGTTTTCATTTGAAACTTGTTCGAAATATCGGTCAAATTTTTTTTTTTTTTTGAAATGCTATTGGAATTGTAAATTTCATTATAAGCTTTAATTATTGATATCGTGCTCATTCATATTTAATCTATATATTCGTTGAAAATTTTTCTCATTTTCTTTCATTTTTGATCAATCTATCGTAATTCAATTTCATTTATTTCTTCTTCCCTCTAAGAAATACTTTTAACTTCATTAAAAATGACAAATTACTGAGAATCGTCATTTATTATTACGAAAACTTGATTAGAGAAAACTTTTTCTCCTGGTAATATTTTCATTTTTTTCTAAAATTAATGACATTCTTAAATTACTCTTTTTATTTCTTGTAGATGAATCTTCAACCGCTATATGATGATGATTAATGTTATAGTATGATGTATTGATTTATTGACAATTAAGATAAGTTATTGAGTAATATTTCTGTTTTTCTTTTTTTGTTTTTGTTCTTTTTTAGGATTTAATAGGTTAATTGCATTTTTACAAAAAGTATTTTAGAACTGAAAATAACACTAACATTTTTTTCTGGCAATATTTGTTAATTATTATTATTATTATTAATATGGATTTGACTATCCGATTGCAATAAATCATCCTTTTATTATTTTCATCCTATAATGAGCTAATATTTCCGATTATTTGCAGAAGTTAATACGATCAGCAATTCCTGCAATTGCTGGTGGTAATATGGAAATGTTAACAATAGGAGATGGAACAACACGATCAACAACGATGCAATCGATGGATGTTAGTATGACCTCTGTTAGTTCATTGGGATCATTGGGATCATCGTCTATTCTCGATCGTTCAATGGTTAATTTTGTTAATTTTATAATTTAAAATGGTATGGCTAAGATAATGGAAATGGAATGAATTTTTTGATAGCTAAACAGGACTTTTTTCTATTTATATCTTGTAAATATGATTGAGAAGTTTTGCTTTAAATAATTTTATATCAATTTGTTATTTATTATTGT